CAGTGCTGTGATTCAGGCTCAAAGCACATTTTCTACCACACTTCAATTGTGAGACCTCTGAAATAAAGGAAAGCAGAGAGGAAAAGTGCCAGGGAAGGACACCTGGATAACCTCAAATATTGACTCACAGGAGGCAGGATAAGAAATCCTAAAACACACTGAAAGTAAGAAAATAATTTCTCCCATCTGATTTCTGTTGGATTTATCTGCTTGATCCCTTCAGGACAAACAGTTCCCAGGGGCACTGACATTTGCTGGCTCTGTACTTACTCAGAAGCAGCTGCTTTTTGCACTTTTGCCCTTTTCTTTGCAGACCAGTTGAGATCACCACCTGTAAGAGCAGCAAGGAGCACTCTGAGACCTTTAAAACTGGGATTTTGTGGCTTTGGTATGAAAATTCCCCCCAGGAGTCCTCAGAGCACTGAGGAAGCAGAAGGATGATTTTACAGAAGTGGAAAGTGAGGTAAGGAGCAGCTGCAAAGCCTCACCTGTGAGGTGGTTCACAAAGTACAGCATGACCACAGCAATCAGTGACACTGCAAAAGGAAAGGGACATTTTGAGCTGACAATAAATGAACAGGTTGAACCCACAGCCAAGATCTTCATGGCAGCTGTAACTCAGGGCTCTCTGCTTTTGCAAATCTCCCTGTGCTCACAATTCAGAAAGGATTTTAAACTTGTAATTCACACTTTAAAAGCATTATTTGTCTATTTTCACTCCATTTTTTAAACACTGGAACTCTCCACACTTCAGGGAAACCCCAAGCACTTCACTGGCTGTGAGTTCATCCCAACACTGCCCCAGCTGACACCTCTAAAAGAGGAATGATTTCTGTTTCCCAGGAAATATGAAGCCCAAGAGCCCCATGAAGCCTCCTGAGCCCATTCCCAGCGTGTTCCACACTCACAGCAAACACAGGCACTGAAGAAGACCTCCAGGAACAGGTATCCCCTGGTGTCCAGGATCATGCCAGCTGCTATGGCAATCACTGCCAGGCCCAGGTTCTGGATGGACTGCATGCTGGGGCAGAGCAGAACAGCA